ACTGTACTGATGCCCACAAGCAGTTGGACAGGCCTTGAGGATCCATTCCATCAGCCTTGCCTGGAATGTGGGCAACTATTGCTGGCACGACCTTCAGCACATCAGGAGCGACATCCTTCAAATGTGCTGAGGCCCACAAAGAGTTCGACAATTCTTGAGGCTTCATGTCCAGAGCTTTGCCTGGAATTTGGGAAATGAGTGCTGGCACGACCTTCAGCACGTCAGGAGCGACATCTTTCAATTGTGCTGATGCCCACACACAGTTTGCCAACTCTTGTGCTTTCATGCCTGGCACAGTCTCCGGAAAAAGATTGATCAAAGCAGGAAGCAACTGAGTTGTTCCAGGAATTGCCTCAAACAATGCCGTGATTGCCCATAGCACATTGGCAGAAGCCTGTGGGTTGATCTGTTTCAATGTGATCAAGGTCTCAGTCTGCACGTGGAGTTTCTGCAGCACGGGGCTCTCGGCAGAACTTGGCAGTAATGCTCTGCCTCGATGAAACGATACCAAGCTGGTATACGCTGCCGACACGTGGAAGTAGTTGAAGTACGGCGAGTTCACTGCCTCATCCAAAACCCCAAGCAAGTCAGCAGCTGTCTGAGCCTTCTTGATGCTGGCGGTCAGCATCTGTGCAGCCTTCACACCATCTGGTGCCATCTGTGCAACTGCGCGCGACCGTCGTGATCTCCGTGACCTCCCACCTTTTGAAGCCTTGGCATCGCCGTTCCTTCGCCACAGCGAACCCTTCTTCTCCCGCACGAAGCGCGTGGTCGCCGGCGGCGTTTCTCCGGGCCGAAATGGGGCGACGGTGGTCCCAACGAAGCTGAGATGCGGCCGGAAGGACGGCACCCAAAGCCAGACAGCCAGGAAGAGGCAGCATCGTTTGCAGCCCCTCGCAGCTGCCAAAGGCGTTGATGTCTCACGGGTTGATTGGAAAGTGGTCATGGCTCACAAAAAAAAAACACGGGAAAGGCTTTGAGACTCATGTTCCTCACTTGATGCATCACGTCGTTGGTTAGATTAGTCTGTGCCTGGGTCCGTGCCTAGATGCGCCGACTGTTCTGCACCTAGTCACTGGTCTGGAAGTCATGAAATTCTGATGAACATGAATATGATACTATTACTGTTACTGGCATAAGCTGCTGCAAAAGCTGCTGCTACATGGATGCACTCAGGATGGGTTTCCGGCAAACGTTCACACGAACAACAAACATCCCTTGCTTTTCAAGGCGCGAGCGTGCCAGCCAGGCAGCCCAGGGTCATCTTTAAAATACGGAAACATAAATAAATATATACACATGTGGGTTTCAATATGTTTTAATAGGTTTTAGTTTTTTTTTAAAATCATCTCCGGGTTGATGATGCAACTCCAGTGAGTTCAGTAAATCAATGTAAATCATTTGAACTTGTGTCATCTCATCTCAAGCATGGGCGTTCTTGCGGAACAGAAACCGATCGGTCCACTTGGACGGTTGCGTGAGCATCTGCTACCGCACTCCACCTTTCTTTCGGGCGTCAACGAACAATGCTGATGGATAGTCCAGCACCAACGAAGGTCAGCACCAGCTTCCCGCTGCAAACATCAATGGAACAGGCTCACATTCATGCTTTTCCGTACGTGTTCCGTTGGCATGTGCGGCGGGTTCAGCATGATCTAACTATAGCACCCCAAACCAATTCTTGATATTCTTGGGCACCAGAACAAAAGAACATGTTCATCCACTGGATCATCCCCAAACAAAGTATATAAATATATATAAATTGTACAAAATGGGAATCAAAGCCGTTCATGTCCATCCCCCCAAAAATATTTGTTTTGACGTAAAGCACAAAGATCGTCTTTCATCCCACCCCATGAACCTGTACGAACACATTTAATTATACACCCCAGACTCTCCATGGGGCTGCCATATATGCCGCCCCATTGACCCCCCAAAACCACTCCAACTGATCGGCATATATGGCAGTCCCATGGATCGTGTCTGGGTACTGTATGTGACAGGTCCCAAGGTCACCCACATGCGGCCCCGCCCCGCCACCCCGACCCTCCCTCCCTCTCGGCGGCCCGGGCTCTTCTTCCTCCTTCGGTCTCTCGAGCGGCTGCGGCGACGGGATCGGCTGCGACGGCGGCCTCGGAGAGGAAGAAGCAGCGGGGGCGAGGACGAGCGAGGAGGGAAGGAGCAGGTCCCCAAGTGGTGCTGAAGAAGTCGGTTCTGTTGGACTTCCATGACAAAGCAAAACACCAAAAACAGTGATTCCCATGGATTTTTTTGGGTTGATGAATAGAGTCATTAATGATAAATGCTTCTTGTGGTTTTTAAATCCTTTGAAATAGGCATTCCCAAGGTTGATTTCCTCAAAATGGCCCGATGGGCAGAACAAAATCTCAACCTGCCTGATCACGCTTGAAATATTTTCTGGGAGTATAATTAATGCCTACCAAAAGGCAACAAAAGGGCATTGGGCTATAAGGCAAGCTGCAAGGGCCCCGGCTTCAATCTGTATAGGGAAAATAATATATAACTGAAGGTTCTGGGATGTTCAGGGGACTTCGTCACAACGTGGCTTTCCATCGTCTTCAGGCTCCCGACTTCTGCTGCGCTTCTTCTTCTTGCCTCGGGCAACCAATAGGAGCGCAACCATTAATGATTTGGAACTTATAGTCTGAAGATCTCTTAAACAATTGTCCCAACCCTTTAGTGTCTGCAAGTCGAAACAATCTTAAATGAAAGACATATAATTAGAATAGTCGTTGAGACACAGTCATCCACGAGCTCTCCTCTGCTCCGCAATTTGCCACGCCGGTCAATTTTTCAATCGCAACACGTGGGCGCGCTGCGCGCAGCGGCAGCGATGAAGGGCTGGCATCCTCTGATGCGCGCAAGTTCTCCCCACCAAAGGCAATGTCCACGAAAACGTTAGCTACCTGCTGAGAGTTTATTCGTTATCATCAACGGACCCTTGATAGAACGCCGACTAGTCTGAAATATATTATATGGCAACTCGGTTCCATCCAACCCTACAGTTTGGGTTGGGGTTGGGGAAGGAAAACATGGCAACCATTTTCATGAAGCTTTATCCACTGCTACAGAAATGCATCGCAAGCTTCTGCAACTTACTTTGATTCTTCATCCCGCCCCGGACTCTACAGCGAGATATGAGATATCTGAGATATGTAACGACCTCCCACCCAAATGCATCCAAATGCAAGTAATACCGCAGTGCTACTACAGTATATTTAATGCTATCACACATCATAAAAAGTTGGCTCAAAAAACAACTGTGAATACATTACCTACAATCCTACAAAGGATCACAGTTGAATGTATGGACCGCGCTAAGCCGCCTCCCGTCCTCTTCCTCAAAGCTCTCCGCTTCGCTTCGCCGCGGGCGTCCAGCTGCGGTCCTCGCCGATGTTCAGCGAGTCGTCGATGGCGCGGAAGCGGAGCTCGCCTGGAGCGTGAGCGAGCAACAGGTCCAAAGCCCAAGGAGAAGGGGCACAGCCGAGCTCGCCTTGATGAGCTGTAGAATCTGTAGAAATATATACACATGCAGGATCATGCAAACATAGGACATAGACTGACAATTTCCAGCTGGTATGGAGTTGGATGTACATGGTTATTATCATATTGACTACTATAATTAACATTTGTAGGCGGATACGCCTATCGTGGCTATGTGATGTCGGAGAACAAGTGCTTCTGGCTGTGCTTCTCCCATTGTAAATGATCACAGTACCCTACAGTTCAACATGTTTCTCATACCAAGTTCTTCACGCAGGCTGGACCACGATCACCAAATGCAACCCCTTTGTTTGTGCCAACAAAATTAACCAAGGACACAAAGGTGCGTATTGGAATGCCGCAGCACATGTCTCACCGCGCAGTACGTTTACACCAACGCCCTCACGCTGCCCTCTGCGCATGTCGCGCCTCCATCCGCTGGGATCTCCATGATCCATTGCTCCGACATCGCTAAGTTTCGGTCCATGGGATGGAAGCGGCCTCCAGCTTTCCAGACTCACCCAGTTCGCATTCGCATTCGGTCAAGGATGTCTACATACGGACCCATCTGGTGGAGCATGGATCTCCAAAACATCCATCAAACGAATGAACATTCTCACCATGTAAGCCCACGACGAATCATGTGGGAAGCTCACTTGTGATCCTGCACACCGGCACGTCATAAAGAGAGGTGGCAAAAGGTCCGAGAGGACCAAATCGGGTCATCCGCATAAGACGGCGGGACGCCTCAAGATCAAGCGGTCCGGACCCAAACTAATTAGTTGGGTCTTGTTGGTCTCAAGATGCATCTGAATGGAAAGGGCGCTGGACGATGTCACCCGGGAAACCCCAGCACTTTGTTCACCTTAGTCCTACGTTCCGCACACTTATGCTGAGCTGGATCTTTGCAGGAACCCGCAGGTGTTGGTCGAGTTCTCTCTTTTCACAGTGGGCTTACATGGTACGGCAAAACTGATTGCTAATGCAAAACCATCATATACCTACTATGGATCTTCATCTTGGGCAAACATGTCTGCCTAGCATGGGTCAAGGCCTTCTTGCCATGAAGTTAGGCGATGACTTTTGCCTGACGAGGTTCTAGGTAAATATCGCTTGCCTCTTAGATGAGGTTAGACAGAATCCTGACTATGTGTCTACTCTGTAGGATTCTGTCTGTATAACCTAATCTTAGAGGTATGAGTTGTTTGTCTCACTCGGTGCCAAGGCTCCATCGCCCTTGGACCACTCCACTGCCGCCACTGTCCCGCCCCCGCGGTCTGCGGCTTGCACGACCTGCAGTTGAGGGTGGAGGGCAGGTGGAGATGTGGATCCAGAAATTGATCATGAGATCCAGGTGGGCCTCATGGCTCTGGCTTGGTCAGTTGGGGTGTTGAGAAGAACTGCACGGCCTGCGGTCGACTCGTCGGCGACTTGGTGGACCCAAAGGCTTTAGGGTTAAACATCCCCATGCATCTGGTATAATGGAAGTCCATAGTTAACATTGTATAGTGGTTTCAGAGTAAATGGCGCTGGCACCACAAGATGTCTTTGACAAATGGGGGTCTTCATAAACCATGAACTTGGGATTGTGCCACCTACTCTGAAACAGCTGTAGCATGACTTGAAAGTCTATATATACCTTTTCCTGGCTGACTCCCTAAGCCAGAAAAAAAGGACCGAAGATACATTTCAAGGGCAGCGGTCATCTTATTTGTTGGAATTGATTGAACAAATAGCTTGGAGATCGGAGCACTTAAAACACCAACAGCAACAAACTGTCTTCGTTGCAATGTACTGCAATTGCATTTGATTATAGTGGAGTAGAAAGTTCTGCTCCTGCACCACGACTCTGGGTATTTCATGCCACCTGGTGGTGCTTAAATTAATGCTCGTAGCTTTCCCATGCTTTCCCCATAGCTGGTGCCGAGCTCTGCCACAGCCACATCACATCGACCAAATCAGCAAAGCCCCAGGTGCCAAGCGCGCCGAACCAGCCCGCGTCTGGCGCGTCTCGGTCCAGGCGATCGTTGGCGGCTCGGTGTCATTGGACCTAGGAAGCTGTGCAAACGATCCAACAATGATGTCGAAAGAGTTGATTTCTGACGTGTGGTTTCAAACCCTGGGGATCCAACCCTCCTGGAACCTACATAACAATGTCTCCAATCGCCTAGGAGTACTGAGAAGGTACGACTGGATCCCTAGGGAAAGAGTTGATTTTTGATATGTCGTTTCTGTGACATCACCTATAGGGTTGGGAAGGACCCAGTCGTTTTGATATGTCGTTTCTGTTTTTGATATGTCTGGATCCCTATAGGGTTGGGACGGTCATGTTTTGGATGTGTTTTGCACTGGACCTCCGTGTCATGGAGGTTCGACCTTCGGATGTTGGAAAAAGGGGGCTTGCAGATCACTTAGCAGCACAACATGCACAACCAACAGTTGTAGGCTGATGTATGCGAATTATGTGGGCACTTGTTTGCAAGAGGTTTTCCTCACCCAAAGTTCCCAGTCTATATATTAGTTGCCGGTCGACCGGCCGACGGAGATCGGAGCAGGTCGCTACACGCAGGTCGATCTGACCGGAGACAACATTGAAGCGTCTGGTGCTCAACTGGGAATGAATAGAATGGCTCCAGACTGACCCCCCACTGCAAATACAATGAGCTTGGCTTATAGGATACCTTAGTTCCACGACCTCATCTTCCATCCTTAGGACCAGGAACCCTTCAGTGAAGAAATTCCTCCAACCGACCACCCCTTGCTCCCCTACTCTTCCGCCCAGCTCACGGGGATGGACGCACCATGCCCTCGCCCAAGATCGGCGCTTGCACACCCATCTCCGCAAAGAGGTTCCTCAGTGAAAGGAAGAAACACGGCGACTGCGGCGGTCGGAGTTCGGCCACGACAACTGCTGCTCCTCTCCAATGCAAAAGGTGATGGTCCTTTTTTCAGCCAGGAGAGGTCATGGCCCAAGGGGGCTGGAAAATCAGTTCTTGTCAATACATTCAATGCAAATTCTGGCTGTGAGGTCCGGGAATTGCAGTTTTATAAGTTCTGTTTGGTTCAAAACACCCCCACACCTCCCCAACCACCGCTGCTTGGACTGCCATGGCCAGGCTACAGAGTGGCTTGCTGCACGGCAGGCTCCGGACCAGAAGGGTCTACGCCGATGCGAGTGTTGTACCTCGATCGTAGTGAGGCAGTTGGGTGATTTGCCCCCCAGGATCGCAGTAGATGGTTCCTGTGAGTTGTGCACTGGTGGGCAGCATGCAGGGTGGGATAAGTGGTCCCTTGTCCATAAGATTTAGGGTAGAAATTAGTATAATATAGACGTGTATCTATATACCAGCCTATACCTTCTTAGCAGCTGGGCAAAGCTACTCAACGGATAAACAAAGAACCTTGGCACTGACAAGCTGGCTGTGTCCATGGCTGAATCAACTACATTGATCCTAATTGAACAGCTGGAGCCTGTGATTACTCAGAAGCAACAACTCTGTGTCTGCTCCCCAGCCCCCACTACCAGCAGACTGGGCACTCGCTCTCCCACATGTTGTTCATACCTTGGAGGCCCCGCGGCTGAGCGAGGAGAGTTGCGAGGGGGCGTGAGGGCGATCCACTGCCAGGGTCCATCTGCACACAACTTGCAACGGCATCAACTTCTGAAGAAAGCCCCAAACGACTTGAGAAATCTCAGCCAATGGAGACCTCAAATGTCTACATTCCCACATGTCTTTTTGCACACTGCTCTCTGAACGGCCCGGAAAGGCTTCACCAAGCTTCCCAAGAGTCACCTTAAACCATAACACTCCCAAACCACTGCCCTGGTACTCCAAACCTTTTTCGCTGGCTCACCAGAGTCAAGAACACAAATGTGATTGAAACTAACCACCAACCAGTGCTTCTTGTGGTATGGCTGCCGCAGCAGAACTGTGCCCTCATTGCTTTAAGCTGAGATCTGGTTAGGTCCGGCATTTCGGACCTTACCTACCCAGCTCCAGCTCCAGCAGCTCCCGCCCACTGCCCTCGGCTTCCCTGACATGTCAAGGTGAACCACTGAACCGAACTGTCCAGCTGCAGCTGAGAAACCAAAAACACGGTGGGTTGGGAGGGCCTTCAACTGCGTTTCACGTTAATCGTTACGCTGTCGGTTGAACGTTTCGTTCCTTATGGCTTCTACATGTTGTAAACTTGAGAGGAGGGAGACACGAAAGGTAGGACAGCGGGAAGAGAAGAGAACGCGAGTGGCATACTTCGAGCCACAGCAGCGGTCTCCAAGCCCGCATCGTTTTTGGTGTGTGATCTCGGTCTCCATGCCTGTATTTCGTTTTGGTGTGTGGAAATCCATCTCGTTCTCGAGAGGTCTTCCTACCTCGTTTCACAAGCTAAACATGTCATTAACCAAACCATTGCAAACAAATGGCGCATTTGATGCCCATCTCGTTTTCGGGGTGTTCCTACCTCGTTTCGCCAACTAACTCTGACATTGGGCTATAGAAAAGGAACGCCCCTAGACCAATCACCACTACCGCAAATAGAAGCCGTTGCTCATATGCTCTCGAAATGTTCAGAAAGGTTCTTAGGGAAACAACCTCGCCCCATGGCTCAGATCATCGGTGAGCATAGAATCGGAGCATCATAGGGTTTAAACTATTCTGAAACCAGAAGAGACTCACGAAGACGTTCCCCAAAAGAGAATAGACGTGGTTCACAAAACAAACTCTAGGTATGTATCCCCTCAGGGAACACCTGTCGTGATTAGAATTTCGTACGCACTCTGTCTGAATGTTCAAGAGGGTTGCAACTATCCTGAAATCATGAGAGGCTCACGAAGACGTGCTCCAGGAGAGAATTGAATTAAGAGGCCCCAGGAGAGAAGAAAATAAACTCTAGGTATGTAACACCTTGCGATCCTTTCGGGGAACACAGAGACGCTTACGAAGACGGTCTCCAGGAGAGAATGGTATTTTAACGAGAACACATTTCGTAATTCGAATTTCATATGCACTCTTTCTGAATGTTCAAGAGGGCAAGAGGGTTTCAACTATCCTGAAATCATGAGAGGCTCACGAAGACGTTCTCCAGCGGAGAATTGAATTTTGAGGGGGGGGGGTCTGTATTGAAAAATCAATTCGAGGGGGGGGGGGGGGGGGGTTGAATTGAATGATCAATTATTAGACCCGGACTCGCCGACACTTGCTTCGCAAGTCAAACTCAAGGTATCCCCTAAAGGGCTACCTTTCGTGATTAAGTGGTGCTTTTCAACAACATTACTTTCCATCTCTTAACACCAAAAACCATGGGGTGTTCCCAATTGTATCCCCCAGAGCTTTATAGCCACCCCCACATCCACTTCCTGAGCGCCGTCCTCCCGTCCTCCCAGTCCCGTCATCTCGCCGAGAGGCCCGTCACCGAGTCGTGCATCGGGTCGAGGCCCCAAGCCCATTGCACCGTGCCAGCGCCAAAGACCAGCGCTCCGCTGGCGGCTTTGTACCTCACCGTCGGAGCGTCTACGGATGCGCGTGCGGAGGGTCTGAAGTAGCGCGCTAGACGTTTTGAAGGGGTTTGGCTGGCAAGTCGTAGGATGACGAACCTGGATACTAACCAGGGTGACCAACCTCAGTAGTATGCCCCAGTAGTAATTCCAACCCTGGGCTTCGTGAGTTTGTCAACCAGCTATATCATCAGATATGTGATCAGGTATGTATGTGCCACATCTTGCCTTTCAACCAACGCCGGTTCGGATCGCCGCGTCTGGTCAAAGAGGTCGTTGGAAAGGAGAACTTCGAGCACCATAGCACCAATGAATGAGAAGACATAGCACCATAGCACCATAGCACCATCTGGTCAAAGAGGTCTGCTCACAAATCTCACTTTACTTCTTCCTAAGGTCCTGTGGTCAATGAATGAGATGCGATCCGCGGTGAACAAACAATTCTTTTAGACACCCTGTTTGTCCGGGGTGACCTTTGATACAGTAAATGATGAATCTCCTCTGCAAGACCAACGATTGAGCACTGACACAACGAACAGAACTCAAACGACGAACTACGTAAAAGTTCTTCCACAGCTTGAGGGCTTAGAATGCAGCATTTGCCAACGACTTTTGTCGCAGGTGCCACATGTTGCTTAACAATGTTCATGAACTATTCCCATACTACGCTCCATGTATGGAATATATACCTACATTGACCCCCCAAACCACCCGGCCCCAATGTAGGCCTATATTCCATACATGGAGCGTCTGGGATTTGTTCACATCAAGGTTCGTGGAGCACTTCATGATCTCCATGACTGCCCTGCCAAACAAACCACCGGTGACTAAAGACCACATGCATACGACTCCACAACCCCAAGCCTCCCGAGCGGGCTGAAACGAGCTGCAAAGTGAGGTGGTGTGTGGCACTGCCAGAATCGAAGCAAGCACCATGGTCCACGATGGCCTCAACTGGTCCAGGACTCAGGACCAGTCACATATGAAGAACGGTCCTCTCGGAAGAAGAGCATCGAATCTGAAGTTGTCGACCCTTGGAAAATGGTGAAAGCCCCGCCCCCAAGAGTGAAAGTGGCTTTGAACGTTGTTGCATAGGTGGGTGGAACAAAGTTACTGTACGCGTAATCAATCCACACTGAAGTAAACTAATTCATCAGCCTGACCCTCAATCTTATGGCAAAATGTCCATCCCCCGAAACTCCTGCTTCGCCAGTCACCAATGCTCACCCCCACGCCATCTCCCCTACCCTGTCCCGCGCTGTCCATCCACCCCATCACCGCGCCTGGACGTTGTCGACCTTCGTCTCGCTGAGGCGGATCAAGCCCTTCGGCCGCACACCGTTGTCCACGTCTTCGTCCCACTCGTGGCCCAGGAGCCTCGACCCGGCACCGAGCCGGCACGTGGGGCGGTCCCAGTGTGTGGGGCTCTTTTGGGGACAGCAGGGCTGGGGGAAATGAGGTGTGGTGGATAAATCTAGATCACTCAGGATCACTCAGGAGCTTGGGCAAAATCAAAGGAACACCGCCCAAGGGACATTGTGGAAGTGCTTCGTTCATATCGGTCCCAAAAGCATGAAGGATAACTGGGACGCACAACATGGAGGTCCAGGCCTTGAGCTGTCCAAGAATGTCCAAGACTTACAACTCCCTGATTTGATGACCACGGACCTTAAAACGTCTTGAAACTTGAAACCCTTTGTTGTCTGCCTTCTACTGGAACAAACTGGGACTGCCTTTCACAGGAACAACCGGGACTGTCAAGCCAAAATCTGCTCCAAAAACAACATGCTCCCAAGGCACCCCTTCAACAGCACCGCCCTCTGCGTGGGCTTCAGCGTGGCCACCGGCGTGTGGCGCCACACCCGGAGCTGGGCATAGACGCCAGGCACTTCTAAGGCATCGTGGCGCCAGGCGTTGACCTCGTGGCGCATTCTTTTGCTAAGGAGAGGGAGCTTCCTGGTTGACGGTCGAAACTTAAATCATCCCCAAGAAACAAATACACATTACAATACACACTTTGTCGATTCAAAGGATGAAGGAATAAAAGTTCCAAACCACTATCATCCACTATCCAACTCGTGTTCGTGAAAGGTTCTATGATACTTTTTGCTGCGTATTTTGGTGTGATTTGAGTGGTCTTTGGACAGTTACTATAGGTATCCAGCATTCTAACTTGTTGCTCGATCGGCTCGATTCTGGGTTCTGCCGCGTCCTCGAACTCTCCAAGTCTGTTTCCCAAGGCGCCGTGAAGATGGTGCCGGTGAGGGCGTTCTCCGGGTCGGCGCCTTCCGGGTTAAACTCTTTGCTGTCCTCAGCCGCGGGGTTCCGCGCGGGCGGGGTCCGTTCGCAAACAACACGGTGCCAGGACCAAAGCAATGAAGCATGAGAAGCCTTGGTCTTGTAGTCCCTGGTCCCTGGACCCATGTGGGGCACATGCGCCTTCACGGCCAGTTATATCTGCGGTGTTTGAAGTCTTGCGTGGGCTCACACGTCAACAAGAAACAAACGTCAACAACGTTCACACGAGGAATGCCAACGACTCCCAACCGACTCCCAACCGAGTTGTCGTCTTGTGGGAAAATCATGGAAAATCCCATTCACAAACCGGTTCTTCTTGGGCAGCCATCTCTCCCAACCAAAAAAACAAAAAACAAAGAGACACACAAACCAAATCTCTCCCAACCAAAAAAACACACAAAACAACATCAACGACCAACCTCTTATGCGCCGCGTGTCACGATCCTATGTGATCCTCAGTCTTCCCCAGTCTGCCGCCCAGGTGGCTCGAAAGGTTCCAGTCCAAAGCTTCTTCTCGGGGTCGATCTTGAAGGATTCCTGCGACTCCTGCGACGTAGTGTGCCGCTTTTCGTGCCCCACAGGGTTTTGCTGGTGGGTTGTATTTAGTTTGTGTCTCTTTTTGTCCAGCTTCTTGGAATCCATGGATGACATGAAAAACACACAAACATCAATCTGGTTTCACTGGCGTCACCTATCAAACAAAGATACAGGGTCTGAATTAGTTGGCGACAACAAGAAGAACGCCTTCCGACCTTGCTTCGAACCCGCCCATTGTTCATCATGCTGCAAGAGAAAAACCTCCACGGTCCCTACCTCTACTTGCCTGTACTTCCCAGGAGCGCTTGCGCTCCTTGTAGACGACCATGGTCCGCCCCGCCATGCCGTCTACGGGCGACGTCTCCCAGCGGATTTTCCAGTAGACCTCGTTGCCACTCCAGAAGTGAAGATGAACACCTCAACCGAAAAGGAGTTCGGTCTGCACAAAAGTCGCGTGCAAGTGAGCTAGGTGAGCATATGGTGTGGTGCAAATCAGGTGCTGGAATGGTAGGAAGAATTGGGGTGGAGACTTAATAGGGGAGTTTGGGAAGTCGCAAGGCTTGCATATCAAAAAGACTCCCCAAGTGAGCGGACAGCTTTCATAGTCCACTGATCCATTTGGGCTCTAAGCTCTGATAAGCTCAATCTATCCAAATCTGATGATGAACTTACTGAAGCACGAGGCTGGGAGCCTGCTACTGGCCCCCAATTCCCATCCCTGGGCACCGTCGCGCCTGCGTCTCGCGCGCGCTCCACATGTCGCCGCTGCTCGCCAGACCAATACCTCACGTCGTTGGTGATGTTAGGAGCCGGCTAGTGGTGGAAGCTGGTTTTAGTGGAGGACGGCTGAGCAAAAGGGAGATCAAACATCCTTCAGACTCTATTGTATAATAAATTGAATCATTTGTATATTGCGGTGTGACTGAGCATAGCAGCACAGCTCTCTTTTGACGCATCCTTCCAATCAAACAACACACCGAGTTCCGCACCCAACTCGGTCAGTCGCACCGAGTTGGAAGGAACATCACCGCATGGGCCCCGGCAGTTGGACAAATGCACGAGTTTTCGTTTACTAAATGATACGACTGAACCCAACCACATGAATATCATTAAGAACACCTCTTTAAGGACTTAACAGAACCAACAAAAGGACCCTATCACTCTCACCCTCTCCTTCACCTACCCGACCCTTCCTTCGCCGAGAGGCTCGTCATGCCCCACCGAAACATACACCTTGGCACGCTTGGAAATCTCCGCCCCTTGAAGGTGCGCGTCTAGGCCAGTCCAGTATTGCACGTCGAAACCATGGCGTTCCAACCAGCCTCGGCGCACGTTTCACCGTAGTTTTTCGGACCTGCCATGAGGGTGTCCAAGAGGTTCGGGATGGTTGTGGGCCTAAGTGGTTGGAAGGTACCGGTGGTGGCAAAAAAGGTGGAGAGCCCATGATATATTTTGGACGATTTTGATCAATGTTTAAACCATTGGGGATCATGGGGGCACGTTCAAACGGTGCAGGAGAGCACACGAAATCCGAAACACAAACATAGAACTTTGTAACGATTGCGCGCCATCGAACCCCCAATTGTTTTTCAAACAAAGGAACATGATGTGTTTGAAGGCTGGGGCCGTCCCAATAATTGTGCAACGTTCAAGCAGCACAGGTGTGAAAAAAACACCCGCAACATGAACAATGTTGATGCAGATCATGCAGTGGTCCAACTAAGAACTGCTGGAACTGTCTTCTTTGTGTGGCTTCAAGACCGCCAGCATCTTTCTCTCGAGCGGCGTATCGCAGGCATCTCCGCATTGAACAGGGTATTCACTGCCCGGGTGTCCCGCGTGACCAGTGGGGCATTGTACGAGACCTGTTGTGGCGCCAGTCTCGAGGCAGGAAACAACTCAACCCGTCACGCGTGGACATGCACATTAAACTGGTTCAAGGTTATCGCTTTTGAGGGGGCTTGTCACATTTTTAGGCCCCAGCCATGCGTTCAACAAAGCTGAACATATCCCAAAAAACTGCGGCGGCACGGTTGTCACTCTTGAGGGGGCCTATCGCTTTTGCAGGTGCCGAGGCGGAGCTGGACGACCGCCAAGGTGTGGGCACAAGGATCTGGCATACCGACCCTGGGGGGTGCAAAAGCATCTTTGGATGTATTCAAAACCTTCTGCCACATTTTCCTGGGCTGCCAACAGGGTGAGGTATTGGGGCTCCAAAGAAGCTCCAGCCAAACCTGGGCTGCGTAAGTTGAACTATATAACGGCATGATCTGCATTCAGGTATATACAACAGTGAACTCCCTTCAGTTGCATATACTTGGAGCCCAAGTGACCCCGTTTTGATAGGAAAAGGCAATATTTTGGGTGGTGGGTGGTTCAAATAGAGGTTATTCAGGTTCTAGGTACATGCACTCTTACATGTGCTTGAGCCATCTTAATCCACTCGTTACACACATCGAAGCGAGCATCTCGTCTTTGCTGGCCTTGTAGGCCCTGCGGCTTTGCCAGGACTCTGGGATACCTGCATGCAGGGGCTAGATCATCTGCGGCATTCCGGGGGTGTTGGCCAACAAGAAGTGGACCCTCTGCCTCTGCGTGTTTAGGCACTATAGATGGGAGAGGGCCAATGGGCTTGCCAAGTTCTCAGTCGTTGGTTCAGGGTGAAAAGATCTACCACACTCCCCGAAAGAATCATGGAAGTGGAGCGAACACATGCGAACACCTGTTTGGCCTTCAGAATTTCATGGCCATCCATGTGTGTGCCATGCATGCCCCAGGCAAGCATCCATGATTCTTCCTTCAGGGAGTCTATGATCCGCTTGGCCCGTGACCATGGCCGGTCCGCAGCTTGGATCGATCGGCGTTCAACACAACGCCCGTTGGAGACGTCTCCAAGGAGATGTTGGTAAGGCCAGTTTCGTGGATGATGCAGCGAATCATTGGCAAACACTAGAGGCAGTTGTATTTCACTGTGGGTTCATAGCACGACACATAGCTCTTGCATTGTGTACAGCTTCTTTTCATGCAACAGGCTACTGAAGTTGTGCCGCGGCAAGGGCAGCACACCGTAGGTCGAGGGCGCCATGTAGTTGTTGTAGGCTCGCCAGGTAGTATCGATGGTTTGAAGCAAAATGTCCTCAGGACGGCAAACAAAGCAACAGGAGCAGCTGACAGAGCTGAGAGAGAGAGGGGGGCAGCTGACAGAGCTCTCAAAGAGAGTGCTCACAAAGCTGACAGAGCTGGAAGAGAGCAACACAAACAAAACAGGGGGTGTTCTTAAAACCAGCCGTCTTTGCCACAAACCAGTCCCGATCCACCCATCCTCCCCCCAAACAAAACCACGGGACCCAAAATGAGAAGTGTGGAGTCGACCTACATCTGAATCTGTTGCTGGCCTCGGTCTTCAATCACTAGCAGCTAGCAAACAGCTACTTTCGGGTTGTGTGACGAACGCTTTCGGCCCTGAATGATCGACGATGAGATCCGAAGACGATGATCCACCGGTGGTGCTTGTCCCCGTTTCCATGAAAATTCCAGGGAGTGTAAGACCTTTTCACTTCCACTTCCACTTCCACCCCACTTATAGTGGATTGAGAGTAGATGGCACAGACCCCAATGTCGGTGGTTTATATGGACCCCCATCTAAAGGACATCTTGGGGGAAACGTGCCATCTACTCTGAAACCACTTAAACAGAAAAAACACATAACGACTTAATTAAACAGATGGCTCGTTCTGACTCCCAAGGCGGAGAGAGAGGCCGTCCCCAAACCACATGTTCCAGTGATCTCCCCAGTAGAGGATGGACACACTGAAACACTCTGAAACATCCAAAAGCCCCATAAACTCTCTCAGGGCACAAATCACTTTCCGCACGTTCGCCCAAACAAAAACCAAGGCTAACCGAACCGTTCATCTGTTCGATCTGTGTGGTGGGGTGTCCCCCCACACCCCGATGTCTGACGTCTCAGGTACGTACTTCGGCTCTCCCCCCATCTCAGACTTCACCCAGGCTCCGTCTTGCGCGCATCCTGTCGGATCACAAAGTAAATGTGCGAGGCATGGGGTTCCCGCAGCGCATTGCCTGAGAGGACGCAACCGCTTTCAGCACCAGCAAAAACGGCTAAAACCAACAAAAGGCAGGGTCTAGCCATGTCTGCCTGGTAGTACCTGGCATATCCAAGCAGTAGCATGCTGCAGCTACTTGCTGCGAACCGCCGCCTCCCCATCTACAGCATACGGTTATTCAAACATATTCAAACACTGAGCCTCACCAATCCTCTCAAGTCACGTCTACTACGGCACTCTCTTCCCCTTCACACAGAACACCCAGTGACGCAGCATGGTCTTCTGCCGATGTCGCTGAGCGCCATAGGCATGCAGCTCCGCTGCGCAGGGCGTCTCACCACAGGGAGGCATGCGGCGGTAGTCCCAATGTTCTCGGATCCATCGACGAAAAGGGCGGCTGGAGGCGGTGGACGGGTGGCGGCTGGTGCTGAAGGTGGTGCTGAAGGGTTTTCAAAGGCTGCTAACTAGGCACTGAGATAGGAGGTGCCCAAAACACCTGGTCTTCTGAGTCCTGAGACTAGGCCAGGCTACTAAGGCGAGCCTGGTTCACGTGCCATTTGCGGCCTGGCATGTGCCTGGCTGTTGGAATTGTTTGAAAACTTGTTTTGCCATGATTGGCCTTGCTCCATCTTGATCGCCCTGATGTTCCTGATCTCTGTTCGTGATGCACCTTCAGCAGCCCAGCTATCAAACCAACCCAAGAGAACAACACGTCTACGAGTGCACTGGCAACCCTTCACCAAAGCAGCCTGATACTCCAAGTGGTCCCCACCCGAGTCTCACATCCGAGTCTCTGTTGGCGAACCTGGTTGAAGCACCACGGGTGAACACTCAGAACTGGGTGATGGGGGGTGGAGTTGAGAAAAAGAACCCCCCCCACTGCCACACGACTTGCCACACTCCATATAGTTTCTGATGCAGTTGAACAGTTGAACCTGAACCTTCATGCTTCATCATTTAGGCTTCCAACCCATAAAGGTCCGTGTCACGCGTGCTTCATACTGGCAAGCGAGCCGTCGTCCGGGCCCAAGTGAGTCCCAACATCAGGTCAACCCGGTCATTTGGATGAAGAACAACACAAACATATCATGAATTCCATCCATCAGTGCGCACTCCCGTATTACACCGTCCTAGTCCAGAGACACCAGTTGGGCGTCTGGCCCTCCCAAACTTGTGCCCAGAGCTGAATCCTCAAATCATCTCACTTCGCACTCCCAGCTGGAGCCCATGGAGGGCAATTGAATCCCCTTAGGTTTGGTTCCAAGAAACGACACTCCCGAAAACGATCCCATAGACTCCCTGACGTCCCCATGGAAGACGATGGTCCTATATTGACCATTCCATGGGATCGTCTTCCAGGGTGTAAGTGAGATCAGTTCCCTCCTCCTTCTCATTCTCCCCTTCCCACCATCTCCAACCACGTCAACCCACTTCGACTGGCGCCTTGAAACCGCCCGCCCCACCGCACCCGCTCCCACGCGGCTCCTCCGAGGCGCTTGCTGCTGGGCGCGATCTCCGAGGCGTCCGAGCGCCAGGCGTCCGGCGCGTCCTCCAGCACGAGGCGCGCCAGGAAGACGCCCGGCACCGTGTCGGTGGGGATGACCCAGGCCTCGGTAGGTAGAGAAGGACCGGATGGAGGGGGAGGTATAGTGAGGTGACGTCGGGTGAGGTGGGTGAGTTCAAGTTCAGAGATGTGGATTGATGTGGCTGCATCACAGCAACATGCTGCATCTGGGAGAGAACGGAAAGCCCCAAGCAAATATGTTGTGTGATCAAAGTGGACTTGGCACGTTCCTGCACATGCCAGCCTTGATGCCCTAAATCTTTCCTGGAGCCAAACGCCTTGGAAGGGTTGCAAGCAGCCATCCTATGAACGAAATGCCTTTTCTGCCGAGGCACACCGCTCCTGGACCACGTGCCGCAATCGACCAGCAAAGTCTCATCATCCTGACGCAGTGACGTCCCAGCTGGAGCCATGGAGGGCAATTGAATCCCCTGGGGTTTGGTTCCAAGAGATGCACCCCCCCCAAGAAAAGAAACTAGTTTGCGTGATCTTGCGTGCCTCATGCTCAAATATTAAGTGAGCATGGCAAGCATCAGCATGATTCTTGACCCTTTTGCCACGACCAGCATTCCGGTTAGTGGAAATGCAAAAGGTATATACCTTGAATTCCTCCAACACGAGGTCTACGGACATCTCGTCTATAGTCGATCGAGGTGCGCAAGTGTAAAACATGAAACATGTCAGGCAGTGCAAAATAGCGCAACTGTCAATTGGCAAAGTCTTCGAAACCATGATTGAGTACACTCATGGATCTTTTGGTGAGGACACCCAACAAATGAATCTCAAGCTGAAGCTGTCATTCTACTTACCTAACCTCAAGCTGTCATTTTGTAAGAGAATCACCACTCCGTCCTTGACATTCATCAATCTACCACGTTCCTTCCTCACCCCCCCCTAACGCACGCACACGGCAGCTCCTTGTAGCACTCCGGCTGCTCTTGCGGCAGCTGGACGAAGGGCCGCAGGGTGGCCACCAGCCGGGCGCCCAGGCCCTGGTACCAGCCCAAACGGTAGATGTCGAAGCGGTAGCGACCTGGGTCGATGATGGGCCCGTATTAGAGGCTCGGCTTGGGGAGGATCTTGATCTAGTTATAGCTTTGAAAGTGGAGTTGGTGGAGAGGAAAAAGACATTATATTTGGCAAAGGGTTCACTACCTGAAGGGTTGGACCTTACGATTTGCTCAGTGTCCTTTTGACCGGTCGACAAAAACAGGTGGCACATGGTGGCACCCAGGCACTCGGACACCGTCCCACACCCACACCCAGCACACCGAACGCCGTCACGCCATACGTTTCTGCGGATGTCTGCGTCAGTGGCCCATTGAGTCAGTACGACCTGCAAGCCAGCTGCTCCTGCACTTGGACCTCTTGCGCTGCTCTCATTCGCTCTTCTGGGCTCTTCTGCATTGCTCTGAAGATGGCAGGAACCTGTCTCTGGTCAGGTGCTCGTCCAAACTTTCTGTCAACCACAAGGGGTTATGTGCAAACTCCGCCTGTCTAATTCTGCCTAAGACTCTACGATACAATTGCAGTTTCGATACTCAGCATTCCGGACTTCAGTTCTGACACTGCCCAAGTGCATTGTGACACCTCCTCTGCATTCATCTGGGCAGACTTCGCTGGAATTTGGGCTATGAGTGCTGGCACAACATTCAGCACATCAGGGGCGACATTCTTCAACTTTGCTGATGCCCACAAACAGTTGGCCAATCCTTGAGGAACCATGTCACCGGCTTTGGATGGAATTTGGGCAA